GGGCTCGGCGGGGAGAGGGCGGAAAGCGCGGGCAGGAGGGAGCCGGGGGAAGAGGGCGGAGCTGGGCGGGGAGAGGGCGGAAAGTGCAGGAGGGAGCGGGCGGGGAGAGCGGGCAGGGGAGGAGCCCGGGGACCCAAAGGGCAGCGGTGCGTTTTGGGGCGGCGCGGAATGTCCCCGCAGCCTGGTGGGTTCAGAGCACAGGAAGGTGAACCTCCGGAAACTGCAAGCTGGGAGACGGAGTCCACGCACCGAATCCTGACCTTAGGTTGTCAAAAGGAAAATGCAAAATTTTTCTTTTTCAGAAAAAGTATCAAAACTATTTTTATGTTGAAAAATAGAAATGTGTTTCAGTTTGTGGTGGGAGGAATCAGTAATTCAGACAAACCAGTAAGATCTTGCAACTGTTTAAAATACTAATTAATAATTAAGAGAAGAAAGAGATAACACATCTCAACTAAATTTAGGCAGAACTTTGAAAATGATATATGTTTGTTTTTTAAAGATTTTGGCCTTAGGTGGCACGTGGGGGGGGAGAAAGAAACTGAGAAATCCCCTCCAGCGGAGATGGCCGTGCCAGTAATCCCTGCTCCTCAGGTCTTGGGATCTTGTGCAAGTGTGGACACGTGCCCAGCGTTTCAGGCCACCTGTCGGCGACTCCCGCTGTGGCTGTCCAGTGCCATCAGCTATCATCTGCTGGCTCCGACGATGATTTTTCAGAGTCTTGCTGTAGCGCACCTGCACTGGCCAGAGACGGAAAACAAGAAATTACACACACACACCCAGGGGAGATGACCACTCCACAGTCTTTTCTCCTCCATTCTCTTCTTGGGGTTTTGGGCACGCATGCACACACACCCAGCATGCGTTTTAGGCCGCCGGGTCCAGGACTCAAACCGTGGTCACTACGTGGGAGTCCAGTGATGTAGCCATTACTCCATCTGCTGGTCCCCGAAAGTGTCAGTTTTCTTTACCCTGTGAGATAGGTATTAAGCGCCTAGAGCCTCAAGTGAGTCCCTGATTCTAAACACCACCCAGTCTGTGCTGTACTCAGTCCCCTTTTTCTACCAGCCCAGGCCAGGCCTGGATCACTGTGAAAACTCCACTCTCCCGGCCACTCTGTACAGCGCGGCCTGTGAGCATGCCCACCCCAGTCCGGGGCCACACTCACCACCTGGCCTATGTCCTCATGAGTGAACACACTGCCCAGGTCCGTAGGTCTGGAGTCTAGGCCTCCCGGCTACTCTTCACCTTTGGAGCCACCGGATACAGCCCCGCTGCTGGGTCCTGGGGCAGCCAGGGCAGTAGACTGACCTGAACGAGTACTCGTGGTGATCTGATCTTCCAGGACGCCACCATTGACAGTGGGGAAAGCAGGAGTCAGCAAACCATGGGCTCGGGCCATATCCAGCCCGCCACCTATTTTTGTATGGCTTGTGACCTAAGAACGACCAATCCACTTTTTCTTAAAGAATTACTTTACTTTATTACTATTTTTTAAATTTATTTTTTAAATTTGACCAGAGAGGGACAGTGTGAGAAAGAGAAGTGAGAAAGCAAGCCGCCAGGTCTGGGACTGGAACCGCAGTCCACCATGCGGGAGTCCAGCCTCCACTGAGCACCTGCCAGCCCGAGTCTATTTTTTAAGTGTTTTTTTTTTTTTAATTTTAAATATTTCATGATATGTGAACATCACATGAAATTCACATTTTAGTGACCTTAAACTACGTTTTATCAGGACACAGGCAAGCTTATTCATTTACAGCTGCTTTTTTTTATTATTTTTTCAAGTTGCTAGAGGGCACACGCGCTGGAGAAAAGCCGAGCGCCAATCACTCCCTCTCCCTCTCCCTCCGTTCAGAATGTTGGGCACACACGCAGGCCTGGCACGTTTCTTTCTCCTTTCTCCATAGGGTGCATGCACTTGCTGGAGAGGAGAGAGACAGAGACAGGGAGAAGGAGAGTGCAGTCTCACACCGCGAGCAGCCATTGCGCTGACTGCTGGTCCCAGCCTGGCGTGTTTCTGAGGTTCAGAGCAGGCCATCAGCCAGGCGGGCCCGCTCAGTGACCCTGGGCTGCAGACTGGCCGCCTTAGGCTGCTCTCAAGGACAGAGTTGAGAAGTTGCCACGGAGGACACGTGGCTAAGCGGGACACATTCACTTGTGGACCGCGAACTGACGCACGTGACGAACTTCGCACTTGTGTGTGCAGGTGCTCTGTGGGGACTGGCACCCCTGTGACAGTGTCACCCCGCACGCCTGCGTGTGCTTATCAAACCCCTGGAGCCTGTCTACTTCCACTCTACATTTTCATGGTGTTTTGACTAATAAAGTTGATGAGTTAAAAATACTGTGACACTTTTCCATAATTAGAGATATTGTTTGTGACTTTATAACACTGATGTATCCATTTCAAACATGTAGTATTTAAATGCTTAGTATCCACGCACAGCAAATTAAGTAGGTTTTATATACTGGCGCTCCCTGCAGTAGTATCTCCAACATTTCCCACGCATGTGAACGTAAGAAAATAGATTTTAAGAGAAAGATGCCTATCTGAGCCGAAAGAGTAAAACGTTAGTCCCGCCAGCGGAGTTCATCAGAAAACAGAACAATTCATTAGGGTCAGTAAGGATCACACAGCTAGTGTCCCGGAAACCTGAGACGTTCTGACTGTCGCCCCCAGCAGAGGCCACACTGCACAGGGCACAAAGGAGCTAGCTTGTGGGCCAGCAGGTGGCGTGGAGGTTGAGGTGCTGGATCCCACATGGTGGGCTGCGCGGTTTCAGTCCAACACCTGGTAGCTAGAAAAATCACGCAAGGCACATGCGTGTGTGTGCCCAATATCCCAATAAGAGAGTGGAGAAGGAATTGCAGTGTTGGCCATCCCCTCTGGGGGGCGATTTCTCACTTTCTGTCTCTGCCTTATAGCAAAATGCCTTATAGCAAAAATCTCTAAAAAAAAGAGAGAGGGGAACGAACCATTTTGTAACTTGCAGCTAATTACATGTATTGTAAAACGTGACAAAACAACTGTTACCACATCAGTGACCTTAGAAGTTAGACCTTTGTCTGGTGTCCGGGATCCCGGTCACTAAACAGACCCACTCACTTGCAGCTGGAGTCCAGCCAGTTGGCTGGTTCTGCCGTGGAACAGAAGGAATTTGTCAGTTAACTTAGTAAAGGGAAAATGAACCTCGGACTTCTCTAGGTGACAAAATCTTGCTCCTCCAACACTTCTGATGTCTCAGACTTAGTACTAATTCGTATTTTGGGGCCAGAAGATGGCCTAGCAGTTATGTTGCTGGACTCCCACGTGGCTGACCACTCAAGTCCTGGACTCGATGGCTCGAAAATCATGCCAGACACACATGTACATGCCCAAGACCCTGGGAGGAGCATGGAGAAGGGACTGCAGCATGGCCGGGCCACTGGGGGAGGCTTCTCACGTCCCCTCTCACTGCCTCTCTCTCTCTCCTGCAAGTGCACATTCCCCAAGGTAAAAACCTTGTGGGTTTTGTTTTTTTTTTTAAATAATTATTTATTTAAATCTATTTATTATTATTAGTATTTTTTAAATAATTATTTAGTTTAATTTTTATTCATTCATTGATTTTTTAATTTGACCAGAGAGAGACAGAGGGTGAGAGTAAGAGAGAGAGGAAGTGAGAAAGCAAGCCACCAGATTCAGGACTCAAATTACGGTCGGCCATGTGGGAGTGCCCAGCGCCTTAACCACCACGCCACCTGCTGGTCCCTCCTATTGTGTTTTAAAGTGAAAGCTGGACTGGCGTTAGTGGCCTCCTGGTTAGCGGAGCCAGGTGCCGTATGGCCGGTCGCAGTCCCGGTCCCAGCCCTGGCGCCTTGAGACACCCACGGGGCACATGTGCACATGTGCGTGTGCGGCTTGCATCCTGACACCACAGAGGAAAGGGGCAGGGACTGCGGCCACCACACCCCAGGGGTGCTTTCTTCCTGTCCCCCTTTGTCTCTGGTGAGCACACCTGCCCTCTGGCAATTTAAAAACACGGGCCAGCTGGTGGCATGGTGGTCAGGGCAACTGGATCCCACCTGGCCCAACAGATTCGAATCCCACACCCAGCAGCCTGGGAACACACAGGGCACGCGTGTTCCAGGTGCACCCACGGACGCACCGCCCTCCCGCGAGAGCCCGCTGCCCTAACAAATTGTAGAAATACTTAGAAAGTGACAATGTTCAGGATAATTCACATTCTGATGTGAATGTCTCGGACTTTACATACAATTGAATACTCGTGACTGCCGTCTTTAACCTAGGACTGGACAGCGCCCTAAGTAGGCATTCTATGAGGATGTTCTTACTGGCCTTTACGCTTTGAATCAGGCTTTGCTTTTTTTTTTCCTATCAATTTCTATGTTCAGCTTTTCCTTTCCCTCTGCCATAGTGGAAAACAAAATATAAACTATCTCTTACTTATCCACAAGTTAGCCCCTATTTCTTAGGAAAAAGGGTAGTACAAGTAAAATCAGTATGTGAGGGTGATTAAGTCAAAAGTGAGCTACACGTAGGATGAACTAGCTTTTCTCCATGGTCTATTGTGAGTCGCCTCAAATTCAGGGCCAAGCAGTTGGCATAGTGGCTATGTCGCTGGACTCCCATGTGGTTGACCACGGATCAAGTCCTGGACCCGGCAGCTTAAACTCAAGGGGCGCATGTGCGTGCATGCCCAAGATCCTGAGAGGAGAATGGAGAAGGGATTGCGGCGTGGCCATTCCCCCTGGGGGGTGATTTCTCGCTTTCTGTCTCTCTGTCTGTCTGGCAAGCGCACGCGCCCTATAGCAAAAAACCTCTCCAAAAGAAAAAGAAAAAAAAAAAAAAACCGAAAAGACCAACTACTGATTCTGTAAAAGTTATGATAATGAAGCATTATGGCAAAAAGGAAGCCATGGTTTCAACTGGCGTTAAATGGGCCCAGCACGCGCTTGAACCACATTCCTTGTTAATATGTGGACGTTCAGTGATGTACTAGGGCAGGCACTTCAGGCCTTCTGTTTCACGGGCTGCTCTATACCATTGTTCTTCTTTTCAAAGAAGCGTCTGAACACTAGCATTTGCATTTTCTTATCCAAAGGCATCCATACCTAAACACAGTTTGAAGGGTAGGGCTGTGACAGCACTCTGGAAATGCTTCCCACCTGGAGTGGCTTTGCACACTCGGAACTAAACTGTCGGTACCAGGGCTGATTATGGGAAAGGGAGACATGGTCAACTAAAGCTCTTAAAATAGCTTTAGCGCTGCACACTATGATCTGTACATGGCCTAAGTGCTCTCTGATCTCTTACACAGTGATTCGTTCCTTCGTACACTTTTGCACTGTGAATTGATACTGTCATCAATAAAGTGCTTTTAACCAGACTCGATGCCAGGTCCGGGATTCGAACCTTGGTCGACCATGTGGGAATCCAGCACCTTTAACCACCACTCCACCTGCTTCCACTATTATGTCAGCACTTTACTTGCCTGACAAGAGAAAACTAGGCCCCGAACCAAACTCCAAGCCGGAAGTTTCATGCTCAGCCTGAATTCCTTTATCTAAACATTGGTGAGTTTTGTTTTTCATGATGAGTGGTTCAGAAGCAATGAAGAGACCTGACGTGTCCTCAGCATGCTATAGACTGCTAGTGCATGTTTAAAAGCCACAGATTTTAGAGTTGTTAACATTTTATGTTAAAAACTTTATCACCATTGGGACCAGCAGTTAGCGTAATGGCTGGCGGGGGACTCCCCCATAGTCGACCGCAGTTGAGTCCTGGACCCGGTGGCTTAAACTAATGCCGGGCACGTGTACATGTGTGCCCAAGATCCTGAGAAGAGATTGGAGAAGGGATTGCGGTGTGGCCATCCCCCCATGGGGAGTGACTTCTCCCTTTGTGTCTCTCTCTTTCTGGTGAGTGCACGCACCCTATAGCAAAAACCGCTCCAAAAGAAAAAGAAAAAAAAAATGATCACCAGAGAGAACCACCCAGTGGAATGTGCTCTCACCACACTCCTTGTCCATTTCTCCAGGATCTGGGGCATCACAGTTGTCTGGCGTTTCTAGGCTGCCTGGGCTGGGATCTGAACCTGGCGTGGCCATGCGGAATCCAGCTGCGGGCACAGCACTCAGTCCATCCATTAGAGCCGGCTCAGGGTGGTAACTCTGGAGCTGAGTGATGGGTGGCGGGTCTGTCCTGCTCTTCTGGGTGCTTTGTGTTTGTTATTCTACCTGCTGACATTTGGGGATTTTCTTTAGGCTGTGACAGGCGTCCCCGTAAGAGCACACAGCACCGCGGGCTGGAGCAGTGGGCAAGGACGGACTGCCGAGAGCATCTGTAGCAGTCCTCTTCTTCCAGGGAAGGGTACTGGGCAAGGACCCGCAAACGCAAACGTGAGGTGGGAACCATGAAAACGAGGTCTCGGCAGTGGCCAGTGACACCCTGGACTAAGGACCTGTGCCTGACGTTTACTCACCCTTTCGAAACTTGGCGAGGAGAACTAAACGCCGCTGATACAATCGCGAGTCAGTCCACTCGAGACAGCTTATCCGCCTACTACCATAAACACGATTCAGGATCAAATATTAAAACCACGAAATACTATTACAAACGCTACATTTATCAACCATCAGATTTATTTATTTTGCAAGCTTGCACACTTATGTTCTGTAAAAAGTGCAAGGGTACAGAGTTTATGAACGGCCCTGCAAACGCACAGAGCAGTGAAGTACGCGAGCAAACCAACGGCGTCCAGCGTCCGGACCCACCTGCGTGGCCACAGCTCGGTCACAGGTGCCCTCGTCCCGGATCTGACAGCTGGGCTAGGGTTCGGTTCCCAATAACCGGACAGGTTAAACTCGATCGGGCAGAACCACATCCAAACCTGAGATGGAACGGGGTGACAGTGCCTCTCTGCTGTCTGCCACACCTTCACGCACCAAGCAGGAGGGCTCAGGGCACGAGACAGCTGCCCAAACCCACCATCCCGATGAGTGGCTGGGGCCCAGAATCCGCACCCCACAAGTGTGAGGTGATGTACTGCCGACCCCAGAGCAGCACGACTGTGGGAGCCCACGCACGGCCGGCACAGGCTGCGGCCTGGAGCCGGAACGCCAGCCCCGTGGCAGGCCAGCCCCATGGCAGGCACCAGTTCCACACATCATGGCTGTGCCCTAACACTCCTGGCCGGCAACTGTCCCAGTCAGGGCCACAGACGGCATCAAAAGCCGCCTGAATTCTGCACCCTAATATCCAATTTGGTAACAATATATTTCTGAAAAGCTTCCATCACCTAAATAGTGTTATTTTTATCCATGAATCATCTGGAAAAACAGAGCTGCACCCGCTATGAAAGGCCTGGAAGGTACCCAGGGACCTTAAAAGGCACAGAAAAGGAATAGTGTGTGCTGAGCAGAGAGCCTGCAGTCACCGCCCCGAGGAAGCACGGAGCACCCTGGCCGAGGCCCGCCCGGGCGTGCGCACCACAATCGGCGGGTGAGCGAGGCGGTCGGGTGGTCCTGCGTTCCACATAGGGAGGCCTGAGAAGGGTCCTTTCTGTGTGCTTCCATCCATGTAAGTTCTGATGAGTTTTTAAAACAGAAGGAGACATAATCCTTGAACTCATAAATAAAAATCTACAGTAATGCTTTTTAACAGAGCCCCAGCAAATTCGTAAGTTACACAGGTGTAAAAGCCAGCGGAACCCTGGGCATCACCTTCCGACAGTTTGCAAACACGCTGTCCCCCAAGTTCAGAGCACCCCAGCTGCCGCTGTTCTGATCACTTCAAACTCCCCTCCTACAGCCAAGATGGGAAAGCCTTCCCTGCTGGAACCAGGACTCAAGTAGAGCTGGGAAGATTTCTTTAAGAACAGATCAGGAAACAATTTAGACCCAAATACATGTATAAGTGACTATAACAACTAACTTTCATATTGTCTTATACCCATTTTAATGAACATAAAAGAGGAAAACCAGAATGTTAGTGGTTTACATACCTGGCAGGATGGCAAGCATGACCATAACTTCCATAAATGACACTCAAGAACATCCCACACTCCCTGGTGGTCAGAGCAATGCAGTTTATAAAACAAAAACGAAAAGTGACTCTTCCCATGAAAGAAGGCATCAAAAATTAGCTGAGAAAGATGAAAGGATCAACCTCTAATTCCTGGATACCAGGAAGCAGAGTTTTCTGAATCAAATACAAAGAAAGCCCTCATTACAAACGAGGCCCCACCCCTCAGGGGTCACACGGTTGGTTCTGTGGTTTTTAACGAATTAACACATTAAATAGCCTTTTCTCCAGTTTACCCAAAACTAAAACCAAGGACATAACACTTCAGAAATGCGAACACCCTGAAACAGATCACTACCAGAATCTGCGCAGGGGTCTGCGTAACATTTAGGTAGCTAGTATAATTCACGTTTAAAGTCATTCCATGAGAACAACCACTGTCCCAATCTTCCAAGTCTCCTTGCCTCCTATGACGGCTGCCAAACCAGTTCTTAAGAGTCTTCATTACTCGAGCGTAGAAACTGCTTAGTGAAACTCTCCAGCTCATTTTCAAGGTGAACAGCTTTATTTCTAATGTGAAAAAATGAACAAACACCGGTTAAGTGTCCTGCAGGACAATGAGGAAATGCACCCACCCCACCGCAAGCAGCCACAACTGGCGGCCGGGGACCAGGTGCAGACCTAACGAGGACCACCCTCCTGGAGCACCCACTGTGCTGCCCATGCCCGAGGCCTCAGAGGAACTCAGAGGGACTCAGAGAGACGAGCACGAACAGGCTCACTGGTTATGGAGCCAGATCCCACACAGCTGGCCATGGCTCAAACCCTAGCTCCAGGGGGACCAGCGGTTAGCGCAATGGCTGTGTCACTGGACTCCCATGTAGCCGACTGCGGTTTGCATCCTGGATCCAGTTGCTTAAACTCACGCCGGGCGCGTGTGCGTGCGTGCCCGCCCAAGATCCCGAGAGGAGAATGGAGAAGGGATTGTGGCGTGGCCATCCCCCTGGAGGGTGATTTCTCGCTGTCTCTTTCTGGTGAGCACACGTGCCCTATAGCAAAAACTTCTCAAAAAAATAAAAAATAAAAATCCTGGCCCCGGAGGCTTGAAAAACACAGGCACACGTGCATGCATGTCCCCAAACCCTGAGGACAGAGAGGAGCAAGCAGAGGACTGTGGCGTGCCTATGCCCTGGTGGGGTGCCTTCTCCCTCTCTCCCCTGCCCCCCACTCTCACAGGCACCCTCTGGCAATTCGGGGAAAGGAGAACACAGGAACACAGCAGAAAACGGAGCCGTGCCTCTCACAGGGAAGTCACAGGCACGAAGCCCCTGACAACCCCTCTGAGTAAACACCAAGTCCAGAGCGAGTGGGTTCGTCATGCGCGTGCGGAGAGCTGGCAAGAATCAAAGGCCACGCACTGGAATGCTCCGTCAGCCGGACGCCCACAGCGAGTGAGGAAAACGGCTGACCCACAGTGGCACAGACTCCCGCACCACACCAACACGCTCAGTGCCTGGGCCGAGTGTGTGGTGGCTGCCCGGGGTGACGGGCTGCACCCAAACGTGCACATGCCACGAACGCCACGTGTCAGCTCGCAGGGAACTCCCCAGAAGCACGAAGCCAGGTGGACTCCACTCCTTCGACTGGGTCTACTCTAAGAACAACAGACTCCAAACATCGTGGCACTTGTTCTACACAACTTTTCCCTATTAGGAAAAGGATTAATCAGCAGATCAAAGGGTTAGTCCAGGCTGTCCTGCCAGTACCAGAAAGCTGCAAGACATGCGTCAGTAATCTAAAACATAAATCATGTATGTTCTGCTCTAACAGATAAAACACTTTACGAGCTTGTGTGGGTAAAGGCAAAATCCCAGCCGGTCTGACCGGAGCACCGCAGACAGCCTCACAGAGAGAGCAGTGGGAGCGTGACACTCCCGGGTGGGAGTGGACGCAGGGAGGCTGGTAAGGGTTCAGTGACGGGCAGTTATCTCTGCAGGGATTGAGATGCAGTACGACAAGGATGCATGTGACTGCAATCAGAATATGGTGCCACGGCCAGTCACTAGCACAGATGTCAGACATGTGCCCAGATCGGGCCGCATACACGGGGCGCTGTTTCCATGGGCGAGTTTCCACAGCGCGTGCCAGAGAGTAGGAGCAGGGTTAAACGGTGCGCAGTGACTCTCCCAGGCAGCCTGGCAAGCCGGCTAACTGGGTAAGAAAGCGGAGAGAAAACTACCAAGCGTAGACCTTATGGTGACACAGTCGTATTCCAAATAGCAGTTTTTAAAAAAATAATCCATAATAAATAATATTCCAGAAACGCACATTTTATCGGGAACTCTTGTTTACTTTTATTGCTTCAAACATAGGTATACCCAATAGTCCCCAGGGGGAACAGAAGTTATGGGTCTTAGATATAAAGACTAAAGACTTATTTTGAAATACAAATCTCCTACTAAAAAGGGACTAATGCAGGGACCACCAGATGGTGTAATGGCTACGTCGCTGGACTCCCATGTATTCAACCGCGGTTCAAGTCCCAGACCTGGTGGCTTAAACTCACACAGGGCGCATGTGTGTGCATGCCCAAGATCCCGAGAGGAGAATGGAGGAGAAGGGACTGCAGTGTGGCCACCCCTCCCTGGAGGGGCGATTTTTTGCTTTCTGTGTCTCTGTCTTCCTGGCAAATGCATGTACCCTATAACAAAAATCTCTCCACCAAAAAAAAAAGAGGGGGGGAGTGAGGGGACTAATACAGCCTAACAAAAAAGTAAGTTTAGAGACCAGCAGACGGCGGGACAGATTTTTGTTATAGGGCATGTGTTCTCACCAGAAAGACAGAGACAGAAAGCAAGAAATCACCCCTCGGGGGGATGGCCACGCTGCAATCCCTTCTCCTCCATTCATCTCTCGGAATGTTGGGCACGCATGCACACACGCACCTGGAGTGAGTTTAAGCCACTGGGTCCAGAACTCGAACCGCAGTCAACTACGTGGGAGTCCAGCGACATAGCCACCAACTGCTGGTCCTAGTATCCTTATTTGTTAACCCGGGGAAATGACATATAAAACAAAGGGTAGTTTTATCTTTTAATTTTGCCAGAGGGCAAAGAAAGACTACGATAAGGAAAAATAAAAAGACATCCTTCTGAGGCCAGTAGGTGTGTAGTGGTTAAAGCGCTGGACTCCCATGTATTCAACCGCGGTTCAAGTCCCAGACCTGGTGGCTTAAACTCACACAGGGCGCATGTGTGTGCATGCCCAAGATCCCGAGAGGAGAATGGAGGAGAAGGGACTGCAGTGTGGCCACCCCTCCCTGGAGGGGTGATTTTTTGCTTTCTGTGTCTCTGTCTTCCTGGCAAATGCATGTACCCTATAACAAAAATCTCTCCACCAAAAAAAAAAGAGGGGGGGAGTGAGGGGACTAATACAGCCTAACAAAAAAGTAAGTTTAGAGACCAGCAGACGGCGGGGTGGCTACGTCGCTGGACTCCCACGCTGTCAACCTCAGTTGAGTCCTGGACCTGGTGGCTTAAAATCCATGCCAGGTGTGTGTGCGTGCATACCCAAATCCTGAGAAGAGAATGGAGAAGGGACTGCAGCACGGCCGTCCTCCTTGGAGGAGTGATTTCTCACTTTCTGTCTCTCTCTCTCTCTGTGTGTCTCTCTGGCAAGGGCATGCACCCTAAAGAAAAAACAAACAAACAAACACAACTCTCCAAAAAAAAAAAAAAGTAAGTTTAGATGTTAAAAAGAATCTTAATTCAGATTTGTTCTATTCTTGAAATTAGCTTTCACTGAAATCATAAAACATGAGGAATTGAGTGTGCAAAATTTTAACTTAAACCAACACAGAAAGCTAAAACTTCTAATACAAATTCACTGGTAATTTTCATAACTACATTTTGGTGATGAGACCAGTAAATGTGCATACTATTGAGAAAAAAAGGTTTAAGTACCTTAAGAGCTTTGAACTGTTTTGTATTTTCTCCAACTGATCTATCTCCTTGGACAATCTAGCAATGTCCTCCTCTAGGTGTCTTTGAGTAACATCAACTTGTTGGCACAGGCGGGCAAAAGTGGTAGCCATCTCTCTTCAAAACAAAATTAAGTAGCAGTCATTAGTGTCCTTTAAAATAAATTTCAATATGAAGTTTACAGAAATACACACATTTTTAAAAAACTTCAACCAGAAAGAATCAAAGAACACTGCTAAGAATGACCTAGAAGCTTACCAAGCCAACTGGAGGCGTCACTTCACCTGGCTTCAAGACAAGCGTCCTAGCGACAGCACTACCTCGGCTACATGGCTGTTAAGTGAGTAAGACGCTATAAGGGGAGTACAGGCATTTCTTATGAAGCATAATCAACCTTAGTGCTGTCTCCTGGCCGCTAAGAATAGAAATTACATAGAGGGCTGGCCCAGCAACCTCGTGGCTAAGGAAGGTAGCCCTCGGACTGCCAACTGCAGTTTGAATCTTGGCCTAGTGCCTTGAAAAATATGATGGACATATGTACATGCACCCCAAACCCTGACAGGGTGAAGACATGCAGGAGAAGGGATTGTGGCAGGGCCACACCCCATCAAGGAAGATTTCCCCCACTCCCTCTGTCTCTGTCGAGTGCACATGGCCTCTGGCAATTAAAAAAAATGGAAGGAGGGGCCAGCAGGTGGCACAGTGGTTAAGGCGGCTGGATCCCACGTGGCTGATTGCGGTAAGTTCTGGACCTGGCAGCTTGCCTTTTCACTTGCTTTCTCTCTCTGGTCAACTTCAAATAATAATAATAATGATGATGAATAAAATTACATAATTCTAAAAAAAAATGAAAGGAAAGAAAGAAATTACCAAGAACAGAAAGAAAAAAAATTCCACATGCTTCCGTGACACAGGCAAAAATATTTTGTATCACAGAAAAAATTAACCATGTTTCTAGAACCCAAGGGTTATATTTAATTTGAGTTCTAGTTAATATATTAGCTTTGGCAAATATTATGTTTGTACTTTTTTACAACTGAAGCTTCCAAACGCCACCAACTGATGTACCTCTCTCTAACTTTTCTGTGCATCTCCATCTGCTCTGGTCTTTCTCGTCTCCCTGGTCTCCCACTCAGTATTAGAAAACAGAAGCATGCTTCATCTTTTCAATATTCAATTAAATATCAAACTAGTATTTAGCTTGTATAGTTTAATTCAGCATTATAATTATTAGACGCTGCTACCATTAGGAAGTCCTCTAAGAAAGAGAATCCATCACCCCTACGTGATGTCCCATGGCAGGCAATTAATAAACGTGAGATGACCCTGTTGCATGCTATTACCTGGTAAACTGTTACTATTTGAAAGCAAAAGAACTCTTTGCCACAAAGACAAATAGATAAATAACTAAGTGTGTGATGGGATGAGTGGAGAGCCCCTTAACTCTGTGCTTATATGAACCTCGGCTGACTTCTGGAGGTCCAGGACCTTCATTAGGTGGTGCGGTGGTTAAGGGCGCAGGACACCCACATGGTCAACCGCAGTTTGAGTTCTGGACCTGCAGCGGCTTGTTTTCTCACTTTCCCCTGCCCACACACACTCCCCCCCCCCCGGC